TACCTAATGAACACTTTAGCGCAGTCAGATTTGCTCTAACTGCTTTGGTTTTTGGGATATAACCCAAAAACTGCATTTTACCCCTATGTTCTAGTTTTAGCCATGGCGGCCATGTTTTTTGACGAAACAAAAAATAAAACACATTCTTTATTCTAGATACCCTAAGAATCATTCAGCTTAAGTTTGGCTGGAATTGGTTCAGTAGTTTCAGAGGAGAAGATGTTTGAAATAGTTTACACCAGACGGACGACGACGACGACGGACGCCAAGTGATGGATAAAGCTCACAGTTCCTTCGGAACGGTGAGCTAAAAATACCAAATGAAATAGAAAGACTTGCAGATAAAGGATATCATAATTATATTGATATTAAGTAAATCTACCAGACGTAGAGACATGATGACAAAATAATTTATTAGGTCTTCAAAAATGAGGAGCGATGAATACGACCAAGGTCACTTGTTGGCTTTCTTATTGCCGGATGACCCCCAAAAGTTTAAATAGTCACAATTATTTACTAGTAACTCTTGCGTATTTATTAAATGATTGAACTTTTTTTAACCAAGGATTTACAACGTTGAAACGTAACACGAAAATTGACACAGAATAAGAACAACAATCTTGTATGCTTGTGTGAAAACCAAGATGAATTGATTGCATTCTTCTTCTTCTTCCAAATACTACCCACATTCAACATGATGAATATTCTGGCAAGTTGTGCATGATTAAAAACTGATTAAGAACAAATTGTTGAGTTGATTTAGTTAGAGGTGTTGGTCACTTGAGGCTTGAATATCTCGAGAGACTTTGCTTTGGCGATATCTGAAGGCAGTTTGTTCCAATCCTTGACGGTGTTTACGAAGAAGGACCATTTCCTACAATCTTTGGTGGCTGGCTGTAATAGGTAAAACTTTGCAAAAAACTCGCATAACTACGTACCACGATGAGCAGGTATATGATGTCGATCAATTGACTCTTTTAATCATGGTCAGTTTCTCGATTCTAGACTCTTATGATTTTGTGTCAGTACTGAACTTGTATACTAATTTTCATTGATTTTAATCTTCTTCTTCTTCCGATTACGGGAAAGACTCCGGTGCCGGAGTGTGAAATATCCCGGAACTGTGGCGCTATGTACATGAAAATGGAGGTCGGAAATTATAATATAAAATAAAATGTTTTCCACAGTCCAATTACTATTAAAATAACATTAGTTGTAGCTTAATGTTAAACATATTCACATTATGTACAGTGACTTAAATACAATAGTTAGTTAGCCAGACAGGATCCTCCAAATGTTAAGGTGGAGATACCACCTTTGAAGGATTCTAGGGAGGGTGACATGCAAATTGCCTCCGGAAGATCATTCCAAGCTGCAATAGTGCTTGGGGAAAAAGAAGACTTATAATAGTCTTTACTTGAATATATATGCCGAAACTTATGTTGTCCTCTAGTACGCCTGTCCGATTGTGTCAGGACGTCATTAGTGACTTCAACCAACCCCCCATTAATCTTATAAATCAATTTCAAATAAATCAAATAATCTTGCTTTTGTTCTGCGGGATTGTAAGTTTTCCCATTTAAGATTGTTTATCATACGAGTGACAGCTCCTGGTGATCTATCATTGTAATCGTTAAACACTTATCTTGCTGCCTTACGCTGAGTCTGCTCAATTTGGTGAATTTGGTTTTGTTTGTAGGGATCCCGTACTGGTGAGGAGTACTCGACGGTCGTAAGCACAAGTGATGTGTACGTAAGGTTTTTAACCTGTGTACGTAAGGTTTTTAATCTTACGTGTACAGTTTTTCATGTTTCTTCGTAAAAATCCTAGAGTTTTATTTGCCTTTGAAGTTATATTATTAATATGGGGCCCCCAATCAAGATCGTTTCTTATTGTAACACCTAGGTACTTGCTGTCCTTGACAGAATAAAGTAAATAATTATGTAATTTATATTGAAATATTGAAATAAGTTAGGTTTTGACTTTTTAGAAATATTTATGACATAACATTTTTCAGGATTAAATTTTATCTGCCATTCAGGATCATTCAGATTCCCAGTTTTCAAGGTTTGATAGATCTTTTTGGAGTACTTGAGACTCATTAATATTATTTGATGTTTTATAAAGTAAACAGTCGTCAGCAAAAAGACGAACCTTACAGGAGACATGCTCAGGTAGGTCGTTTATAAATAACAAAAATAAAGTTGGGCCTAATACTGAGCCTTGAGGAACACCAGAATCAACAGCTAATTTGGAAGATTGAACACCGTTTAGCAAGACTTGCTGTAGCCTGTTTGACAAAAAATCTCTTATCCAAAGTATATTATTTTTCCTTATACCATGATAATCAAGTTTTGTTATAAATCATTCATGGGGGACCTTATCGAAAGCTTTAGAAAAATCTAACAGAATTGCATCAACTTGATTAACTTCTGCCATATATTTGGCTATATCCTGAATGCTTATGACAAGTTGAGCTTCACAAGAACGTTTACTTCTAAAGCCATGTTGGCAATAATTTAAAATATTATTCAAATCTAAATGTTTCCTGATGTTACAATTTAAAACATGTTCTAAGACATTACAGCAAATAGCCGTTAAAGAAACCGGTCTATAGTTAATTGCGTTATGCTTATCTCCCTTTTTAAGAATTGGCACAAAATTTGCCTGTTTCCACTCTTCTCGAATTTTTCCATCATTTATGGATTTTTGAAAAGAGAATTCAAGGAAGGGGATATCTATTAAGGAAAATTGCAGTGATATTATCAGGTCCACTAGCTTTATGGGGGTTTATTTTTTTAGAAGCTTAGTTATGCCATTAATATTAATGGTTATATCTGGCATGGTGGGGTAGGGGCTTTTTGGCTTATACGGCATTGAAGATTTATCTTCTTTGGTAAATGCACTTTTAAATTGCTCATTTAAAATATTTGATTGTGTTTGTGGGTCACTATAAAGTAATCCATCTTCAAAGGTGAGATTCCTGATGTTTCAGTCTTTTTCCCTTTTATATATTGCCAAAAGGATTTTGGTTTTTCATCAAGTTGTGGACTTATGACTTCTTCCATATATTAACTTTGAGCCTTCTTGATCTCTCTTTGTGTTGTTGCTTTAATCTTTTTGTATTTATCTTTGTGTGTTTGTTTCCCAGTTTTTTAGCTTTATTAAATGCTCGTCTTTTTTTTTTACATAAACTATCAATTTCTTTATTTGCCCAAGGGTTTGTATATTTAGATTTTGTCATTTTACTTGGTATATTTTCATTGATAATTTTTGCTGTACCATCTCTAAATTTAATCCACCACTGATCTATAGTAAGTTCTAATGTGGTCTGGCTTAGCAGATCAGATATAAATGATTTGGTAATGTTTTTAATTTTTTCTAAATCTACCTTTTTCCATAAGAATATTTTATGGGGGCATTGCGAGGCTCTTTAAGGCTTACAAATGGCATCAACCAAAACTATATTGTGATCCGATATACCCGGTAGGGATTTTATTTTAGTTATTAGAGTTGTTTGGTTGGTACAAAAGATGCCTAAAATATTATCTTCCCTGGTAGAAAAATCTACTAACTGACCCAAACCTAGATTGTTTAGGGTATCTAAAAAAACATTCGTTCATTTCCTTCGGGTGCATTTTGCCCTCTATTGTCATTGATGGCCAATTTATATCTGGAAGATTAAGGTCTCCGCTTATCCAGAAAGTTGAATTTTTAAACTTAAGTTTTAATTCATTTATTTCTAATTACATCTGTTTAAAATAATGTATATCAGATTTACTTGGTGGTCTATAAACTGAAACAATTGTCAAGGACTTTGTATCTGTCATATTTATTTGTGCTGCAATCAGCTCTACATTTTTGCTACAGTAAATTTGTTGGCATACGATACCCTTTTTAAAATAGCTATTAAAACTCCACCGCCTTATTTACATTCTCGGTATCTACGGAATACGTCCTCAAATAGTAGAGTAGGAAATATTTCAGAGGACATGAGATACTTGTTTAACCAAGTCTCATTTCCAATTATAATATCAGGTTTAGATGATGTTATTAAATTTTCTATTTGGGCCACTTTGTTTTTACAACTTCTTTGCCTATTTATTATTTTATTTATTTTTGTCGCTAGCGGCTACTGGTTTTGTCGGGATAGGACGTAGCTACTGGATTTCCAATATTATCTGTGTTATCATTAAGACTGACTGAAAAAGCTGAACTGTCAGTTTGGGATAAACATGAAAATGAGTTTGTTGTTAACACTGAATTTCCTGTTGGTAAAATGGACTGAAAAATTGTTCTGGAATGGTTGGGGGTATCACAATTTGGACATACCCAGAGGGCTGAAGTAGATAGAACATGGGTAGCCAGATTCGTCTCAGTTATTTGGTTTTGGATTGGTTTCAATCTGATTACTGAGCAATAATTTTATAAGTAAAGGCATATGTCTGGATCTATCAGAGCTTTTCAATGTTGGTCTTTTAAAGCTAGACACATGTAACTGGCAGTAGTATAATTGAGATGACACACTAATAGACAATTCTTTCTGTAAACAGAGTTCATTGTCCACATTTTCATACACATGTGGTTTTGAAAAAATTCCACAGTTCCGCAAGATGGCAAATACTGAAAAAAAATTGTAAACAAGATATTATGAAACATTTTGACAAAGTATCTCTTTCAAGTTTCAACATGAATTTTGTTTTGTGTGAAGAGCTGGTAAGTGACAACAGAAACATATTGTATTATATGTCTCTGGTGACACTCATATACTTGTTTAAACAATTTATAATGTAATATCCGTTAATCGAATATTCCAGAGAGACCGCAGATACCAAGAATTTAATGTCACGACGACAGCGTGCTGGGCGGTTTCGGAATACACTGGAATCCGCCTGTATTTAACGCTTCATTCAATGAACAAAGTGTGGTAGTTAGTAGAGAACCAGATTATTGAGCACTGTATTTGTGCGGAAATATCAAACCGTTGTTGACTTTGTTTATTCCAATACCTTTAAAATATCCGGTTACAGTGCAAAAACAAACAGAACAAACTTTTAAAAACGTAGTAAGTAAATATGTTATAGTCAAGGAAAATCAGTTTTTTTTTTCTTATTTCATTTATACGAGGCCGGTTTTACCTGAGGAAGGGGTCGAAGACAGCAAACCTTTAGAACAATTTACGATTTAAATGTGGTGCTGTTTTATTACTGTTTATAATTTTTGCATGCTGCATGCCTTGTTTTATTCGTTATTGCATATGTTTTTATATTCGATGAAAAGCTCATTAGATCTTATGTTGTAGTATGTTTGTCAATATGCCGAATCAAAGTTTTACTTACTTACTTATCCCGTTTTAATACAGATTTATGTATGTCTGTACAATGATTTGTAAAGTAAGATCTTACTATACAAATCCTTGGTCTGTATAAAGCAGTTTATTAATAATATATACTCAAATATCCAATTTACTATATAAACTTTACAAACTCAGTTTTTTATCAAAAATAGTACATGCTGTATGAATCCTCCTGTTTTACCCAATTATGGCCAAAGAAAGATAACTCAATTCAAAATGTTACCTGAATATGTTTCTCTGCTTGATAATCATGTTAATACAGCGATGTTTATTTTCAAGTTCTCAATGCAAAAATTAACGCTGTCTTTTATACACTCTGAAGTGTCCTAAGCACTTTTGATGAGATGCCAGTAGCTAACTATATGTACAAAAATATATTTGTGGATTTAATTGTAAATATACATGTATTATAATCAGAAGTGATTTATTGTACTCTTCAACATTGTCATGATTGTTAAGAGTTTGGTACAATGAGTTATATCTAAATTTTTAATTATAGTTAATACTGTAAATATTTTAACATTGTATTCTGTTTAAATAGATTATTTTGTTTCATGTCTATATATATATGGACCTTTTTGAGTCTGATCTAAAGATTATCTTATCTTATACTCAAGACAATAGTTTTCAAGATGCTGCTGAAAATTTGTGTTTTGATTTTGGATATTTGGGGTAAAAAGATAATCAAAAACTAACAGATTAGCAAATGTAATGCTTGTTTACAGGGTTCTTGAAAAGCAGGGTTTTATGAGTATTGCCAAATCCAGTGGGAAATACAGGGAAAAGCAAGGTTTTAATGGATTTTACTGGTTAAAATTGGGCAATACTGGGTTATATGAAAGACCAGTATGAATCTTTCAGACCATTCAGGGATCAATTCCAAATGCAATACATCAAAGATATATATATGAGAAATAATATTCGAATTTATAAGTTCGAATTTTTAAGACTCTTAATTTAAAGTGTATTAATTTGAGAAAGTGATGTTCCAGCAACTCTAAGACAAACAGAAAGACAAAGACAAATGTGAAAAATTTCTTGATAAGATTTATAGATAATGCTCCTAAAAATTTATTATATTGCCATACTGTCTAAATTGGTCAAACTGTTAACATGAAGCCAAAGAATGCAATTTGTTGTTTTTGATATGTATAACTATTTAGGGTAAACAATTACTCATGGATGGTTCATGCACTTAATTATGATGCAGTGATTTATTTTTCTCGTTATTTTGATTTTTTTTTTTACTAAATTCAAACTGTTATAACTGTCTGAACATAATCCTTATTTCCAAATTCACTATTTACTGTATATGTAAGCAGTAATTAACGATGCAAAAAATAATTATTTTGTTTGAATAATTAATTTTTGATATGATTACTTTCATATACTGCAAGAAAATGGTGCTTTTGTCTGAATGATTAAATCTTAATGAATATTACTGATATACATGTATATAGTCATCTTTAAGATAAATATGAAATTATAAAAGAAAATATTTCTGCCCTTAAATTTAGAAATGGTGTTTTGGACTTGTACATGTGTATGACTTTTTATCCTCTTACTTTTTTCCATGACATCAGTTTCTCTTCGGTTTATGAGTTTTCAATGTCCCCTTGGTATCTTCTGCTAAGAAATTTCTCATAGCAATACTCATTACCTACTATGCTAGATTGAAATTTTAGCTGTTGATACCTTTTTAATTTTAATAAAGCCCTCATGACTTTTTTAAAAGTGTTCTGCGTTTTTTTGTCCTATTATTTATTTCAGACAGCTGGGACTTTAATGTACAAAAATGTTGTTTTGCTATCCTAAGGGGAAAATTAAAAAAACATAAGTGGTAGAAAGACAGTCAACATAATTGCTAACAGAGACAGTTGTCAAAACTATGTGCTGAAAATAAAAGGTTATATGAAGAATGTTGATGCCACAGGAAGCAAATAGTGCTTTTTGTGGATGCAAGAGAGAAAAACTATCCTTAGTTGGTTGTATTACTAAATGATTTGATTTATTTTTCAGACAAAAATCCTGGATTCTCGTCATCAATACCCCCTGCATACTGCAGCCAGGGAAGGTAACATAGAAAGAGTTATTTCCCTTATACAACAAGACTTTAGTGTAAATCACAGTGACCCAGATTTGGTCAAACCATTACATGAGGCGTGTTTTCATGGAAGGTTTCAATGTGTCAAAATACTGTTAGAAAATGGTGCAGAGGTAATATACTCTGAATCTTTTGTGTTCCTTTTTAACTTTAAACATGTTGAAGCATATATGTACAGTATCTCATCCTTTGATGGATAGTTGTCACTGTGACAGTCATACTAGATACATCTCCCAGGTTTAATATATATATATTTTTTTTTTTTCAAACTATTAAACAATTGTGTACGAACTACAACAATACAATATAATTGGTGTTTGCAATTCTTTGTCTCAAGGCAGGAGCCTGTATATGTAGTTCAGTTGTTGTCATTGGTTGCCATCTGTTATTATTAATTTTAAACGCATGTTTACTGGATGTATTATGGTATACCGTTGGCCGTCCGTCTGTCTGGCCGTTGTCAATAAGTCGGACAATAACTCAAAAACGCTTTAACCAATTTGCATGAAACTTTGGTGAAGTGTGAATATCAATTGATGTGAGCTCCCTTTCGATTTTTATAAATTTCAAATTTTATGTTTCCGAGTTATGGGGTTTTATTCATTAAAAAAGGGGATTTTCTAGTTTTCGGATGATAACTCAAAAACACTTTAACCAATTTGCATAAAACTTTTGTGAATTGTTTATATCTATAGACATGAACTCCCTTTTGATTTTTATAAATTTTAGATTTTATGTTTCCAAGTTATGGGGTTTTATTCATTAAAAAAGGGGGATTTCCCAGTTTTTGGACAATAACTCAAAAATGCTTTGAGCAGTTTTCATGAAACTTTGTTGAATTATTTATATCTATTGACGTAAGCTCCCTTTCGATTTTCATAAATTTTAGATTTTTCGTTTCCAAGTTATGGGATTTTATTCATAAAAAGGGGGGATTTTCCAGTTTTCAGACAATACCTTAAAAGTGCTTTGAGCAGTTTTCTTGAAACTTTGGTGACTGGTTTATATCTATAAAAATAACCTCCCTTTCGTTTTTTTATAAATTTCTGATATGATATTGAGGAGTTATGGAACTTAATTCTTTGAAAAAGCGATGGGCATATCATGTGCTCATGGCGCAGCTCATTATTCATTTAATGTTATCTAGCTAAATCAGACTTTTAGTTACCTTTTTTAAATTACTGTGGATTCATTTATTTTCGTGGGTACCAATTTTCGTGGATTAAGGAAAACTTACATGTTCGTTGATATTTAATTTCGTGGTTTTGACGAAGTCTGCATACAAGCCTATGGAAAATTTGTTATTCGTTGAACATTTAATTTCGTGGTTCACCTGTACCAACGAAATCCACGAAAATTTATATCCAACGAATAATAATGAATCCACAGTATGCCACTTTCTGCTATTCAGGGTCAATATTTAACTTTCCATATGTATTGGATTAGCTCACCATTGACAAAAAATGATTGAAGGCCATATGCTGACCTATAATGGGTTAAATCTTTGTTCCGTGTTGAATAGTTGTCTAATTGTCAATAATGCCACATCTTCTTACTTTTATATGGAATTACATGTGTAATTTTCTGCTATTTTATCACTTTTTTAAAGCATATTGATTGTAATTATTTCCATAGGTAAATGCTAGAAATATAGATGGAGCCACACCACTATGTGATGCAGCATCCAGTGGTCATATAAACTGTGTAAAATTACTTATAGCTAATGGAGCTAGTGTAAATCCAGTATTATTATTGTCATCACCATTACATGAGGCAGCTCTTAGAGGTAATGTGTTCTAACACAATAATGTAGTTGAAAATAGCTTTAACTATTTTAACATCCACAAATAATATGTTAAAAAAAATTGTTTAATTAAACAATCTTTATTTTGAATAAAAAAGGATCCTGTTACATATGAATTTCTTTTGTAAATTAATTGCAATATAGACATGCAAGTTTCTTGAACATTTACTGTTGATAAAAAAATCCCTTTTGGTATTAATTTTATTGTCTAAGGCCATTGAAAATTGAATGTTGGTTTCCCCTAATAAAATAAAATATTAAAAGGTCAGCAGACAGGAAAACTTTTTCTTTTCTTTTCTTTTTTTTTCTCTCAAAAAATCAAAAGAGGGACATGCAGTTTTGCTCTACAGAGAATTCACTGACAGGAAATTCTTGAAAAAGAACTTGTTTGACATTATATCTCCACATATATTGTGATATAACCTATTTTAAACTTTAAGAATGACAAATGAAACTTTTTAAAGAAATAATCAGACAATCAAAGCGTCATTGATAATTGTCTTAAAAGAGTCTTGCTCTTTTTTTCATCTATTAAAAAAAGTATTGACACGGAGGGTAAAAACAGACCAAAAAGGGTTATGGGAAACCAACAATCTTTATTGCATGGCCTGACGTTGTTATTTTGAAGTACATTGTGTTTCCCAAAAATATAAATTGCTGAGATACAAGAATATGAAATTTGTACAACATTTTATTTATCTGCTTATCATGGCTTTATTTAGATGATTTTATGACTAACCATTTGTTATCAAACCTAATATACTTGACTTCCTTGTCACAACTTCCAGCATGTACATACAAAAGGAGTAGTTTGTTAAATATTCATTATTAATGTCCTTAGAACATTTTGTTGAAAAGCTGAAAGAAATTGCCAACATAGGGAGACTTAGGAAGAAGGTGTGCTGTTTTCCTAGTCTATTAATAAAATTCTTATCATCCCTAGACTACATGTGAAATTGATAAAAACATAGTAAATCATGAATAATCTTCACTTGCTATATTGCAGATCAGTGGGAATGTATGGAGATTTTATCAAAAGCTGGTGCAAATCTAAATGCCTCAGACTGTCATTATGGTACTGCATTGCATATTACAGCCAACCAGGGATTTATCAATAGTGCAGAAGTTTTACTCAGAGCAGGTTTATTGTTAAAATAGCTGAATTGATAAAAGATTCATTTCTTTCTTTAGTTTTTATTGTCTCGCCTGTGACAAAAGTCGCAGAATGCAAGACATAGGTATTACTTTCCGGCGGCGGCATAAACTGTTTGTATAAAGCTTTATATTTCAGAAGGTAGAAGACCTCAGTAGACCTGGATGCTTCATACCTTGTATGCAGATACCTTATGTTACTAAGTTTCCGTGTCATATGCCCATTGTCCTTGACCTCATTTTCATGGTTCAGTGACTACTTGAAAAAAAATTAGAGTTTATAACAGGATAACTATATTTGGTAAATGGGTTCCTTGCAATGTCTACATGTCTGTCAGACAGGGTTTACCTGACCTAAACCTCAATTCATGGATCAGTGATCAAGGTTAAAGTTATGTGATTAGGTCTGTTTCTCAGATACTACAAGCAGCAGGTCAACTATATGTGGTGTATGGAATGATTGTAAGGGGTACATGTACAAATGTAAGACTGGCTGGTTTCATCAGACCTTGACCTCATTTTCATGGTTCATTGGTCATTGTTAATTTTTGGTGTTTTGGTCTGTTTTTCAAGTACTGTAAGCAATAGGTCAACTACATTTGGTTTATGGAATGATTGTAAGGTGTACATGTTTGTCAGGCCAGTTTCATCTGACCTTGACCTCATTTTCATGGTTCATAGGTCAATGTTTAGTTTTTGTGTTTCGGTCTGTTTTTCAAATACTAATAGCAATGGGTCAACTATTATTGGTGTATAGAATGATTGTAAGGTGTACATGCCTGTCTAGCCAGTATCATCTGACCTTAACCTCATTTTAATGGTTCATTGGTCAATGTTTAGTTTTTGTGTTTTGGTCTGTTTTTCAATTACCTTAAACAATGGGTCAACTTTAATTGGTGTATGGAATGATTGTAAGGTGTACATGTCTGTGTGACAGTTTTTATCTGACCTTGACCTCATTGTCATGGATTTTTAAAAATGTTAAGTGTATGTGATACTTGTAGTCAAACTTTTATCTTTAAGACTTTACTCATAAAATCAATGGTCAGTAAAACAGGTGAGACATTTCAGCGTGTGCACTCTTGTGTTCACTCATTGTCAAATTTCTTTTTTAAATTCAAATTTAAAAATTTAAAAATCATTTGATTGTTGAAATATTTTCTCCCCCTTTTTCTGTGAATCATTTCTACCAACCTATACGGCCGACATGGCTAAAAATAGAACATAGGGGTAAAATGCAAGTTTTGTCTATTATCTTAAAATCTGCTATGAATAGAGAAAATCTGACTTTTGCAAAAATGTTCAGAATGATGAGATCTACATATTGTTGTATTACTTCAAAACTGTCAGACGACTTCTTATATGAGTTATTGCCCTTAAATGAAGAATTTTACTAATTTTTTTTATGTTTGCCTAATATCTGAAAAACTATAATAGAAAGGGAGAAACTTTATATACAAAGAATAATCAACAAGACAAGATCTACAAATATGTCCCCCCTAGGTCGAAACATTGAAAGATACGATGAGTTGTGATGTATGAGTGCTTTTCAAATCTGTCAGACTCCCACTTCCTTTTTTCCAGTACTTTGAATTATGAGTGGGGATATACCTAACACAACAACGTGTGACTTCTTGTTGAATTTTTATGCCCCACCTAGGGGCATTATGTTTTTTTGTCTGTGCGTCTTTTCGTCCGTCCGTCTGTCCCGCTTCAGGTTAAAGTTTTTGGTCAAGATAGTTTCTGATGAAGTTGGAGTCAAATCAACTTGAAACGTAGTGCACATGTTTCCTATGATGTGATCTTTCTAATTTTAATGCCAAATTAGAGTTTTGACCCAAATTTCACAGTCCACTGAACATAGAAAATGATAGTGCGAGTGGGGCATCCGTGTACTATGGACATATTCTTGTTTTTACAAAAGTTATCATGAAACTTTATATTCACATATTGTAATAAATCTTGCAGACTTAAGGAGTTTACACTCAATGTAAATCTTCCAGTACCAAAATAGAAAATAGACATTTTAACAAAAGGTAATATTGCAATATATTTTTAACAGAATGGGTTCAGAATTAAAATTCATATGCAGATGTTGAATTTGTTTACTGGTAGGCTATCTTTCAATAGAAATAAGTGGTTTGTTATATTATCTAGGTGCCAATGTTAATGAACAAGTGGTTTGTTATATTATCTAGGTGCCAATGTTAATGCTGTAAAAACTCATAGTACACCACTACATGAGGCAGCCATAAAACAAGACATAGATTCCTTAGGTTTGCTGTTGGAATATGGTGCTGATGTTTATGCTAGGAATAATAAAGGTCTACATGCAATTGATCTTATTTCAAGTTCAACAAATCCATCAAAAGAACTGTTGTTATACTGGATGAGTGAGTCAAAGTAAAAAATAGTACATTTTTTTTCATCAAATATAATTGGTGTCATAAACATATGTTTGTCTATTGCAAATGATTGGTTTTAACATTTTTCCCATATTTTAAAACGAATGTAATTAAAAATCAAGATCTAATTTTTTTATACGACCGCAAAAAATTTTGCAGTCGTATATTGGTATCACGTCGTTGTCATCCGAAGACATTTGGTTTCCGGACAATAACTTTAGTATTAGTAAATAGAAATCTATGAAATTTAATCATAAGGTTTATAACCACAAAAGGAAGGTTGGAATTGATTTTGGGGGTTATGGTCCCAACAGTTTAGGAATAAGGGGCCAAAAAGGGGCCCAAATAAGCATTTTTCTAGTTTCATGACAATAACTTGTGGAACAGTGTATGGATCTATCTGAAATTATACCACAAGTTTCCATACCACAAAGGGATGGTTAGGATTGGCTTTGGGGGGTTATGGCTCAAACCGTTTAGGAATTAGGGGCAAAAAAGTGAGAAAAAACAAGGGTGTCTTGGTTAATGGACAATTACTTGAGTACAAATTACAGTGTAAGGGAGGTAATTAAAACACAACTTTGAATTACCTCCCTTACACTGCTTTTAAATTATGTATAAAGAATTTTTGTAATGTCTTGAGGTGATTAGCTGTCAATTCATTTTTATACGACCGCAAAAAATTTTTGCGGTCGTATATTGGTATGACGTTGTCTTCATCTTCCGTAGACACATAGGTTTTCGCACAATAACTTTAGTTAAAGTGAATGGATCTCTATGAAATTTTACCACAAGGTTCAATACCACAAAAGGAAGGTTGGGATTGATTACGGGGGTTATGGTACCAACAGTTAAGAAATTAGGGGCCAAAAATAAGCATTATTGTAACTTCCAGACAATAACTTGTGTTTAAGTGTATGGATCTCTCTGAAATTATACCACAAGTTTCCATACCACAAAGGGATGGTTAGGATTGGCTTTGGGGGGTTATGGTTCAAACCGTTCAGGAATTAGGGGCAAAAAATGGGGAAAAACAAGGGTTTCCTGGTTAATGGACAATTTAAAAGCAGTGTAAGGGAGGTAATCCAAAAACAAAATTGTACAATGTTGTACAATGTTGGAATACCTCCCTTACACTGCTTTTAAATTATCTATTTAAGACTTTTATGATGTATTTAAATGGGTAATGATGGTTGCAAACTCCATTGGTAATTTGAATTGAGATTTTTTTTGGAAAAAGGGGGGGGGAGGTAAAAAAGAAATTTGGGGGGGGGGGGGGGGGGAGGGGCAATTTTTTCTCATTTCAGATTTCAGAAATTAAACAAAATTTCTTCACAAATTTTTTTTTTTTTGCAAAAAAAAGGTGGAGGGATCTTCTTTTTTTTTTTGCGGGGGGGGGGGGGGGGGGGGGGTCAATACGCAACAGCATAGTGTATTGCACAAAAGCAAAAAAAAAAGGGTTAATTTTTATTTTTTATTTTTTTTTGGGGGGGGGGGCAATTCGCACAGGCACAGTGTATTGCACAAAAGCAAAAAATTGAATATAAATTCAAATCATATAACCAATTCTAAGTTCTTTGACTACAGTTATTCTGTGTCAGAAACCTATTATGTGTCAAATATTTAATTACAATCCGAATTCAGACCCGTATCAAGCGCGAATATTGTGTCTATTTTTGCCCCAACTGTTCAGGGTTAGACCTCTGTATCCAACTGTGCTCGGCGAAGCAATTTATTAGAAGTTACTATTTTAATAATTTTAAAAATGCTGATTAAGGTAAATTAATTTTTAGCTATGATTATGTATGTCATTTTCTATTTTAAGACTTTTATGATGTATTTAAATGGGTTATTATGGTTGCAAACTCCATTGGACATTTGAATTGAAATTATGACCATGACTGAGGGAAAGAAATTTTTTTTGGAAAAAGGGAGGGGAGGAGGTTAAAAAAAAATGGGGGGGGTAAACAAAAATTGGTGGTGGGGGGGGACAATATTTTCTCCTCCAGATTTCAGAAATCAAAAAAAAGGGGGGGGGGGGTCAATTCCCAACAGCATAGTGTATTGCACAAAAGTGAAAAATTGAATATAAATTCAAATCATTTAACCAATTCTAAGTTTTTTGACTACAGTTATTCTGTGTCAGAAACCTATTATGTGTCAAATATTGAATTACAACCCAAATTCAGACCTGTATCAAGCGCAAATATTGTGTCCATTTTTGCCCCAACTGTTCAGGATTGGACCTCTGCGGTCGTATCCAGCTGCGCTTGGCGAAGCAATTTATTTCAAAATAAAGGACACATATATATATGGCTTGGCAAAAATAAACAAAAATGTTCGTTAAACCTCCGAGAGATATCATCTGAAAAAAAGAAAAGATATATGATGTAAGGATGCAACCAAGGCTTCCAAAACGGTCATATATTCCGAACATTTGTATTATGTCCGGTAAAAGTCAGGCTGGACAAAGCATTAAACGGTCATCTACTTTTTAGTTTTCAAGGTTTTCTTAAGAGATGGTCATTTTAACATAATTCGTGATCTTTTTGACCCAATCTTTTGCCTTTAACAACCACACATTTCCGGTCATAAAAGTGACATGATCATTAAGTACTATCAAAACAATACCTACTTTAATACCTTCTCATTTTAATCAAGGCTAATTAGTTGTCGAACAGCTGAAATTTACCTGTTCAGGTGACAGGTAAACTATTTTGAACCGGACATTGATCGGTCTATTCAAAGTTATTTTCTTAAATTTCAGCGGTTTGCATCTAATTAATTTAGTCAAAAAGCTTTAAATTATCAGAAATACGTCTACAAATATGATTTGATGAAAAAATTATCATCATGCAACTTTTCCACCAAAAGTAGGTCAATGACCTATATTTCATGTTTCCTTGATTTAGATTGAATTTTGTGTCCAACGTTCATTTCTCAGATATTTCTCAGACATTCTGTTACCTACAATCATATAATTGTGTTAAAGGATGCATCCAGGGGAATATTACATCATTCTACCAAATGTTTCATTGATTAAGTTTAAGATTTATGGCGCCAATTGGAAGACTTACAATTCTCTCATTTGATGCTAATCATTCACAGTAACATAGTTATACATAGTTGTTTTGATGCTTGATAGGTTCCTATTGAACCCTATGGGAAATTATACTTTATCTTCTCCTTTGAAAATAATTTTCTATCTTGAAATAAACATGGTTTATAAATGTATGAAAGGTCTTCTGTCAATTGCCTTTTTCCATAAAGGGAGATGAAAAATGGCTGTCTGAAGGGAAAAAGCAATTATTGATTTTCATTGTTTTCAAATTTAACAGCTTTTTTTCAGAAACCATTGAATCCATAATGATACCAATAACTTTTACTGTTTCCATGCAGTCAGCATGTATAAATGTTGTTTTACTGTTTCCATGCAGTCAGCATGTATAAATGTTGTTTTACTGTTTCCATGCAGTCAGCATGTGTAAATGTTGTTTTACTGTTTCCATGCAGTCAGCATGTGTAAATGTTGTTTACTGTTTCCATGCAGTCAGCATGTGTAAATGTTGTTTTACTGTTTCCATGCAGTCAGCATGTGTAAATGTTGTTTTACTGTTTCCATGCAGTCAGCATGTGTAAATGTTGTTTTACTGTTTCCATGCAGTCAGCATGTATAAATGTTGTTTTACTGTTTCCATGCAGTCAGCATGTATAAATGTTGTTTTACTGTTTCCATGCAGTCAGCATGTGTAAATGTTGTTTTACTGTTTCCATGCAGTCAGCATGTATAAATGTTGTTTTACTGTTTCCATGCAGTCAGCATGTATAAATGTTGTTTACTGTTTCCATGCAGTCAGCATGTATAAATGTTGTTTTAAATGCATGAGGAAAATTTCATTAATGATACTACAAAAATTATTTATATTTTGAAAATCATATATCGAGAGATTTTAGCATGTGTATAATTTTTTACATGTTTGTGGTAGTCTATAAAATTTACCCTACACAAACATTTCATTTAAATTTATTTTACATGGTTATGAAAAGAAAAAATGTGACTATTTCATAGCACCTCTGATGTTAAAAATGACCTGATATATAGAATAAGTGGATCTGCTATGTATATTAATGAAATCATTGTACTACATGTATCTGTCAACTTTTACCCACACTTATTATTTAGGTTTTCATATTATTTTTTGCAGATACAGTTCCCAAATTGACGTATTTAACTCGACAAGTCATAAGAAGACAGCTGGGGCAAGCAGGACTAATGAATGTTGATCAATTGATGTTACCAAAATTACTTAAAAATTATATAGAGCATAGGTAATACCTCAGACTTTACTTATGATGTATTGTGAATAGCTATGCTATATCATTGTTAACTATACAAGCATTCCCAGAAAAGATTTATGGAATCCACACTTTAGAGAAATTGTATGTTTGCTAAGAGTACATTTAAAAAAAAAGTCACAGGTTTCACTTCACAGAGATGGTCCATAGATATTCATATGATTGTTTAAATTCTGTATACATCTAGTTATACAATAAAAAGTAATTTTGTTTTCAAAATATGCGAAACAAAGAAATCAGAGGGTTTTTAATACAAAAAAAAAGAGGTGGAATAAAATTATTGTGCTAAATACATGTATTTGCACTTTTCATATCAACTCAATTTTTTTTAATAGTTGTAATTAGCTCTCGATGATTAGTAATTCATTTTCAAATAATTTATTTCAGATAATTGTTTAAAAAGGAGAGAATTAAATGACACAACACATCAACATTTGAATCACTCATTTCTAAATGCATATTCCTAGTGAGAGCAATACATGTACATACATCACTCCAGGGAAATTGTGAGAAATCAACTGCCATGCAATTGTCTATGTGATCTCATCAAGCGATAACTCTGATCTGTAGCAGGATAACATCAGTTTAAATTGGATAGCTGTATCAACACTACAGCAATTGGGAAAGTTCAGACAGGAACTATAAAGTTGGCATCAAATAGGAAAGGTGACAAAATATAAAATAAATCTAATTGGACTTGATTGTGGGTACAAACCAGGAAAAAAGTCTAAATATACCAGGTTTTTTAGTTTTTTTTGTGATGTTGATTAGGGATGTAATATTGATCCAATAACTTAAGGCCATTTTGGTACTAAGAAGATACTGTCAGTGGCGGATCCAGAGGGGGGCGTAGAGGGCGTACGCCCCCCCTTTTGCTTGCACTTTTTTTTTTTTTTTTTTTTGTAAAATGATTAATCAGACTAGACTTCGTGAACTTTGCCATTTGCCGCGTATTTAATTTTTATGCGACAATTCTTTACTTATAAAGATATTTTTCGCTCGTATTTACTGTAATATATTATTGATTATGTCAAAGTCATGTGATTCGCTACGGTGGAGTTGACCAGTACGTCGAAAAAACGTCACTAAGACATTTTGAAATTCAAATTACAGTAACACATTGCTTAAGCTGAGGATGACGCCTTCAAAGCAACAAAGTATTGAGCAAGAAGTTGAACGTATTGACTTCTATTTCACAATTCCACCCAGCAGAAAGTAATACTCTATTACACTCTCATGAAAAAAAAAAATCCACAGCAATATTATTTACCTACATGTTTAACCCCACACGCCCCAGCCCATTAATAACATTGCTGAATAGTGATCCCCAGTCAGTAAGCTCTAGATATAGATTTTAAGTCTAAGGTACGGACCATTTGATTTGAGGGGGCAGTCTGAGATATTTTAGAGAAAAAATTCTGACTCTGATTTTTGCCTTAAACAAAAATTCTGGCCGTATCTGGATTGAAAACAATAATCTTGTCCACTTTTTTGCTATGAGAAAAAAATATTTTCAACAGAATTATTTAGCATTAAAATGAACCTGATGAATAAAAAAACTGGTGTAATTTTTTTTTGAGGGGTTGCATGTGAATCCCATGTCTGTTTCGCCGAACTGATATACTGAATACTTTTTTCAATGCCCGACTGCAACCTGCCTGCTGGGTGTGGCCTATATGTCACCATGTGTCGACCGTCATTCACAACTTCATTGTCATTTCCGACTCATTCTTAGCCTTTGGTTGATTTGGAACCCCTCACTTCCCTTGTTGGGTGAAACAGAGACATATATACGTATATATGTCTCTGGGTGAAACATTTGGATAAACATTGCTTGTCTGTCTTTCTTCGTGTCGGTCGTATTGTAAATTTCATTGAAAAGCCGTATATCTTGTTTACAACAAGAAATCTGTGAGGTTATGCTAACTAACCATACAACAAACGAGAATTTTCCATGTCCATTTTTTACTGACAAATCCCACATCAAATATATTAATTAGTACATAGCTTTGGATCCATCCAATCATTTTATAATAGACAATTGATGGAGAGAATACGGCACCAAAAATGTCCAACCCCTACACTTTAACTATAAAATGCATTTTACACTTATTTTATGGTTTTTTAGCCAAAAAAGGTCCAAAAAATTTAATCGGCTACGCCCCCACTTTCCAAAATCCTGGATCCTCCCCTGCTGTGTACCAGTTTATGGTTATTTTTATTCAGCTGAATTTCAGATATGATCCTGATGGTTGTAATGATAGTTGTATGACAGCTATACACTAATACAAAGCACAATTTTGCCTATATTAGGTAACATGAAGACATGTCTTTACATTTGTGAACCATGAAGAAATGCTTACCATAGCTGAAGGAATTAAAGATTATGTTGACCAGTCAGAAAAATCTAATTGCTATTTTAATGAAACTTGATATAATGTATATAAAAATAATGAGATGTGGTATGATTGCAAATGAGACAACTATCTACAAGAGTTCCATTGAAATGGATGTAAGCAACTATAGGCAACTGTACGGCCTTCAACAATGAGTAAAACCCATACTGTATAATCAGCTATCAAAGGCCACAACATGAAAATGTCGAACAATTCAAACAAGAAAACTAACAGCCTAATATGTAACAAAACAATTTACAGAAAACAATTTTGACAGAGATGAACCAACGATAACTACTGTACAGGCTCCTGACTTGGAACTGGCACATAAAGAATGTGGTGGGGTTAAACAGGTTTGTGACTCTCATCCCTCCCCTATTATTTCTTAAAGAATCTTAAACTTTTTTTCATTTTTTGAAATGCATGAACATGCATTATAAGTATCAAGATGGTAAGGTTTTTAGTTTTTGTCAATTTTCCACAAATTTATAAGTAACTGTATAGTTTGAAGCAAAACTAACATGTTTCTTGAACTTTTTCTATTATTGAAATTCTGCAAAGAAAATTACCCAAAGTTTTGCCTACCTTCATGACAGCCCGTGGCCTTTGTGTATGAATTCTAGTCAAAAGTACAGTATTGTATGATACAATTATATTTATCATTTACTTGTTTTACTTTTATCAATGTTTTATTGTCTATAATATTTATATAATATATGGAGTTCATTATTTTTCTGAACTAATTTTTGTTAATAAACTGAGTTCTTTATGTTATTCCAGTGATCTAGAATAAAAAATACTGGTTTCATTTTGCCATTTGTTTATTTCACACCTTGAGTGTTGGAGGTTGTGGGTTCAATTCCCTGCTGGTTCAAACCACAGAATTTAGAATTAGCATTTGTTGGTTCTCCACTAATAAGGTCGGAAACACCTTCAGTTGGTTTTTTTCAGTGGTGTATGAATAATTTTGTTGGTTTTTTTTTATGTTGATTGCAGATAATAAATAGTACTTCACAAATTTTCTATATTTGAGTTGATGTAGATCTTGAAATGACTTATTGGCATTTAATTTTTGTCTATTGTTGAAGGTTGTACTTGGTCCTCAGGAGTTACTATCTCATTGATGTATACCCAACATCTTCTTTTATTTAGATTTCTACACTAAGTAGCATATTTTTAATGCTACTGATGAAAATGATTGTCCTGTCAAAAGACAATAGCTATAAACTGTTTTATATAATCTAAATGCCCCAAATGCATCTATTGGCTATGTCAGCCGAGATTGCAACAAACATAGTCACTCCCCTTTTTTCTCTTGTCCTATTCACACTGATTCCATAACAGTTTTTAATGACACCTCAGAAAGAACATGACCATAGCTGTACGACCTAAGAGTCTTACAAGACAATGACAATAGAACCAAGAGACTTACAAGAACATTAACAAAGTTGTACAAGACTAAAGACATACAAGAACATGGCCATAGGTGTGTAAACCAAGAGACTCACAAGAACATGACAATAGGTGTGTAAACCAAGAGACTTACAAGAACATGACCATAGGTGTACTTATCAAGAGACTTACAAGAACATGACCATAGATGTACAAGACTAGAGACTTACAAGAGCATGACCATAGATGTACAAGACTAGAGACTCACAAGAACAGGACAATAGGTGTACAAATCAAGAGACTTACAAGAACATGACCATAGATGTACAAGACTGGAGACTCACAAGAACATGACCATAGGTATTCAAACCAAGAGACTTACAAGAACATGACCATAGGTATTCAAACCAAGAGACTTACAAGAACATGACCATAGGTGTACACAGCAACAGCCTTACAAGAACATGACCATAGGTGTACACAGCAACAGACTTACAAGATCATGACTATAGGTGTTCAAACCAAGAGATTTACAAGAACTCTGCCATAGGTTTACAAGTTGGGAGACTTTCATCAGAGAACATTACCATAGATGTTTGACCAAAGAGACTTACAATAACGTAACCATAGGTGTACAAGCCAAGCGACAAGAACATGAATGTAGATGTACAAGCTAAGAGACTAACAAGAAAGTGACCATAGGTGTACAAGCCAAGAGACAAGAAGATAACAAAAATGGCAGACAGACAAATGCCCACAAAACATTTGAGTAATATCAGAATCTTCAGAATTACATATCTGTTTTGCTGTATGCATCATGAAGGAATGTTTGTAGTAATAGCACCTACATATTATTTATAGATGTACATATTGCATTACAATTTAGAATTTAGTAGGATCCAGAATCCTCCTAGTACAAATTGAAATTCCAATATCTACTAATAGAAATTGTTCATTGTTCAATGTAATGTTTTCGTGGTTAGGTCCATTACTCAGATCATATAAGCAATTGGTCGGGTTGCTGTCTCTTTGACACATTCCCCATTTCCATTCTCAATTTTATTAACTATATTTGGATTATGGAATGCATATGATTGCAAGGTGAACATGTCTGTCTGACAGAGTTCATCTAATCTTGACCTCAGTTTCGTGCTTCAAAAATCAGAGCAAGTCCGTTTCTCATATACTATAAGCGATAGGTTAACTATATGTTATGTAGCGTATGCAACGATTGCAAGATGTATTCTGACTGGCAGATTTGAAGAAGTAAAGCATTGAAGCATAGACTAAAACTATAGTGACCTTTAATGGTAGTAATAGTACTGGACGAAGTTGAAACAAACAATACAGCATTCATGTTTGTAATGTTTTTACTCATAGATTTGTATAACCAACAGTAAAACACACATCTATGTTTGACCAAATTAGTGTAATATTTGCAAATAGAATTTGGAGAAAATTGAACGTATTTAAGATCTAAAGGCCCAGTGTAAGTTGTTGTCAAGTTTCCGTCATTTGTCTTTGGTTTTCTTTACGTTGACAGCCTTTTCGAAACTACTGGCAAAAATTAACCCTTTTGGCAGTAATATTCCGTTGTTAGTCCTTGTTTGAATGTAATATTCTTTGGTTGGTCCTCACTTAAATTTAATTGTTATTTGCATCTTATCAAATCAATTTCATCATGTCTTCAAGGGTCAATAATGCTTATCCGTTAGGACCTTAATCTCTGGACTAACTTAAAACAAACTTTATAGAATTCATTTTTGTAATTTCTTTGACTTGCGAACAGTTTTCAAATGTTTTGATTGAATCATGGTCAATATTCTATTTCCCATTTCCTTCTTTTAAACTACTAAGCAAAATATTATGTACACACCGGCAGTCCTAGATACTGTATGCACAGTAGTGAATTGCTTTCTAGTAATATATACAGAACAGAGACGCATGCTTTGAATAGTTGTAAAAAAAACATAGAATTTAAATAAATTCAAAATTAGATCGAGAAGAACACTACTCTGAAACTTTAATAGGACATTGTAAGTGTCGTATACAAAAGATGAATAATTGTGCGTATCAGTTTGAAGTTTAGTTCAATTTTCTGAATGTCGAGTGGCAAATATTTCATGCATATTCATAACCATAACCAATTAAACACTTATTCAACTAAGTAGGTTTTTAAAACTAATTTGACCGAAAGGTTTGTCGGGAAACATCAACTACAAAACGAGGAAGTTGGGACACGATTACCAATTTGGTTCTAAGAAATTTAAGTTGGTTTGTACCGATAACATGAAACACTTTAACAATCCTTATTTCAACATCACTTTTCATTTTCATTTATAAATCGCATATAGCTTTTATTTGTCAAGGGTGCTATTGCCAACGAGAAAAGTCGATGTAGTTCACTACCTACAAGTAACTGTACAACCATCTTGCAATATCAATAACCAATCTACTGCATCGTAAGATAATGAATAGATTTTATTGGCAGATGATTTAGATTTCTTCCAATTAAAAAACATCTTTTTGTGATGATATTCCAGCCTTACCAAAAGTCCATATTAGACATAAAATGTGATTCACATTATAATTGTTTTGTTTTACAACCTTCCTCAGTCTATAGGATAATATTGTTACACCTATGCAAAAGCCTCCTTTTCTGATACAACCTTGTTACCATGGCAACTAAAGAAACACTCGTACAGTCATACTGTAAGCCATGGTGGTAAGATGTAGTCAGATACTATATGCCATGGTGGTAAGATGTAGTCAGATACAGTATGCCATGGTGAAAAGATATAGAGTCATATACTCCAGTGCCATGGTAATAGATGAATAGTCATATACCGTGTGCCATGGTAAAAAGATTTAGTCTGAGATACGGTGTACTATGGTGAAAAGATTACAGTCATACTCTAGTGCCATGGTAAAAAGATGAACAGTCGTATACCGTGTGCTAAAGTGAAAAGATGTAGTCAGATACCGTGTGCTTTGGTGTAAAGATGAACAGTCGTATACTCTAGTGCCATGGTAAACAGATAAACAGTCATATACCGTGTGCCATGGTGAAAAGTTGAACAGGCATTTACTCTTAAGTGCCCTGATAAAATAATATCATATACCGTGAATAGATATAAGAAGATGTGGTATGAGTGCCAATGAGACAACTCTCCATCCAAGTCAAAATTTATAAAAGTAAACCATTATAGGTCACAGTACGGTCTTCAACACGGAGCCTTGGCTCACACCGAACAGTAAGCTATAAAGGGCCCCAAAAATTACTAGTGTAAAACCATTCAAACGGGAAAACCAACGGTCTAATCAATATAAAAAACGAGAAACGAGAAACACTTATGAACCACATCAACAAACGACAACTACTGAACATCAGATTCCTGACTTAGGACAGGTGCAAACAAATGCGTGAGCATGGTAAAAAGATTTAGTCAGATACCTTGTGCAATGGTGAAGGATTACAGTCAGATACCATGTTCAATGGTGAAAAGATGTACAGAAATATACCGTGTACCATGATGAAAAGATGTGTCTATGGGAGTTAAAAGAAAAAGGACAAATGCACTTAACTTTGACTGTTATGGATCTGGCTGAATATAAGCACTTTCGTGAAATTGGGTTTATATGTAAAAGTATTGTTTGACCTTCATCATACGTTTTTTAGTTTTACACTTGAATTCAAATTTAGGATAGCAATTAAGTGGCCTTCAATCATAAAATTTGTTGTAAGAGTGCATTCAAGAGAGTATTACAATCATCATACTGTTATCTGACTTATTGAAGACGTGTTTGTACTTTCATATTTATATATTCGAATAGGTAATTTGCTATTCCACCCGGAGTCTGTTTACTTAAAAAGTTCGCGCACTATTCGACCAGTCTGTCTCAATTATCAATTTTTAAGAATTATTAAAGCGTGTGACATTTTTTTCTTAACCTGAAACACATATTTTGTTCTCTCTGCTTGGATGTACTTTGAAAATAATGTAGAAAAATCTATACCAAAAGCACTCAAAACGATATGAAAAAAATGCCGTAACTCCGCTTTTTATCTGGTTATTTTCAGGATCATATTTTCAATGCTGGAATATCTTATTTATATAGTTCAATTTAACTGATTACTGCATCAGGTATTGATAGTCCCAATCTAATTAGAATATAGATCTCTGATTTCGTTACGCTCATAAGTGAGCTCCGACAAGTAAGCGAGTTACGATCTGAATTTCAATCGGATACTGACAGGTCTTTCCTTTTTGATGGAGAGCTACATAACACCGTATTGTACATCATACAGCGGTAAAGCTACTCGAAGCTACGAAATTTCAGATGCGGGTTCAGGATTTGAAAAAAAAAGGGGGGGAGGGCTGGCCCCCAATCTAGATAAAGTTTGGAGTGGAACAGGTAAAAAGTCGGGATTAACTATAGATATAGTTCATAAGGGCGCCTCCCCAACCCCCCAAAAAATAAAATCGCCTCTGAATTATATTTGGGTTCGGGATATTGACAAACATTTCAAACATAAAGCATCCAAAATGCAAATAATTATTTTTACAACGATCGGTAACTACAAAAAACTTACACTAAAAGCACACGGAAAGAAAGTTTAGGAAAAAGATGAAAAGGGAGGGGGGCTGGCCTAAAGTTTGAAGTGGAACAGGTAAAAAGTCGGGATTAACTATAGATTTGGTTCATAAGGGCGCCCCCCCCCCCCCCCAAAAAAAAAAGGCACTGGCTACGGTTACATGGAAATGTAACAATAATAAAAATATTATTGTTACATTGGAGACTAATTGCCGGAGTACAGGGTTGGGTAAGGATCCGATTAATTACGAATGTAACAATAATAATTGTTTCTGCGGTTACATTGCGTAATTGTTATGATTAATGCACTTCCAAATGTACGGTAGCTATAAATATAGATTTATCAAACTTAAACCTTTTATAGTTTTTTCGCCAATAAGATTGAAATTACGATCACGAAATATCTGGACTGAAATTGAAAACTCTGATCCAAACATCAATTGCTTCCACAATTGACTTCTATTTTTAAGGTTTTTTCAGCTATGTTAAGTTGGATATTGAAATCGGAGGTGAACACAAAATCAGTAATGGACGGCAATGAAATCAAATTACCCGGTACAACCTCACATGCTTACAACAAAAATATTGGACAAAAATATAAACATCGCAAGAGTAAAAAAAATATTTTCTCCTGAAGCATGACAGACGTCGATAGTTTCTTTATCTTTCAAAAAGGGAAAGTGCAGAATAGAATTGAATAGTATGCAATCAGGGACTTTCTATGTTAGTATAGAAAGTCCCTAATGCAATACATACGTGCACATTGTTGCATCACTCGTTTGAGATGGCTGTTTAAATTGGTTTCTCAAAAATCCGACGAACTAAAACATACTCCCAAAAACAACATACTGGATTTGAAGAAACTGTCTGTCATTGTAAATTCTAAAAAAAAATGTATGCATTATTGTAAAATTCAAATAAAAGTCTTATTTTAAATAATATATATATATATTTCTAGTCCCAGCGTACATTCGGAAGTGCATTAATTAAACAATAACGCAATGTAACCGTAGAATCAATTATTATCGTTACATTCGTAATAAATCGGTTCCTTGCCCAACCCTGCATTCCGGCAATTAGTCTCCAATGTAACAATAATATTTTTATTATTGTTACTTTTCTATGTAACCGTAGCCAGTGCCAAAAAAAAAAAAATTAAAATCGCCTCTGAATTTCATTTTGGGTCGGGATATTGACAAACATTTCAAACATAAAGCTTCCAAAATGCAAATAATTATTTTTACAACGATCGGTAACTACAAATAACTTACACTAAAAGCACACGAAAAGAAAGTTTAGGAAAAAAATGAAAAAGGGGGGAGGAGGGGGCTGGCCTAAAGTTTGAAGTGGAACAGGTAAAAAGTCGGGATTAACTATAGATTTGGTTCATAAGGGCGCCTACCCCCCCCCCCCCCCAAAAAAAAATCGCCTCTGAATTTTATTTTGGGTCGGGATATTGACAAACATTTCAAACATAAAGCATCCAAAATGCAAATAATTATGTTTACAACGATCGGTAACTACAAAAAACTTACACTAAAAGCACACGAAAAGAAAGTTTAGGAAAAAGATGAAATTTTCAAATTTGAACTAAAATTTGCCCTTGCTACTATCTTTATTTGTTTGATCATGACTAAAAAAGTAAAATTGAGCAATTATGTGAGTAAAAGTTTATCTGTTACATAAGAATGCATACAGTATCCGGCAAAATAAATAGAAAAAGGACAAGGAAATAGATATAAAGAAATTAACTATAAGCCATGATAAGATACGATGGGATATTTATTTACAAGTTAGGTCCCCAGGTTGGGGAGTCATATACGTTTATAAAAATACGATCCTTTAAAAAAGCTTTCAATATGTTTCGTAAAACATTATTATGACAAACATGACTCATGTGACTAAAACATTTTATATATATATTAGTCCCAGAACAAACTGACTGATATAGATTATAAAAAGCATGTTAGGGTTGCTACTCCAGAGATGTGGAAATGTCCTCTCATTTTATCCTATTTTCAAATTTGTTATCATCATAACGTTTCTTTTTCCTGTAATTTATTTATATTTGCTGGAAAATGTATATATGAAATAAATATTGCCGGTTGTGAGCTGCAACAGACACTAAGCAGACGGTGCTCTACTAGATGGAGTATGGACTTGACAGCTGTCACAAACCTCCTCGTACTTGATGCAGATAATCAAGCATGAATGTAACAAAAGTTCTACGTCATTCACAGCAATTATACTTCATTAATAGGACTGGAGAATATTGTCTATCGTAAGTGTACTCAATATCAGTCACCAAACTTCTATGAAGTTAAGATAATTTACTGTGACACGCATTCCATGAAAATTATTGTAATAGAGCATAGACTAGGGGAGGCTTCAGGGTCCGTGGACACGGGAACGGTACTTGCAAACATTGAAAAAATACTGCCGAGCGTAGCGAGTCGATAAAAAAATGTCATAGTTGCAGCAAAAAACTCAGGGAGATTTTTTTCCCTATCATTTTTTGTGGGGGTGTATCCCGTAATTGTCCCATGAATCCGCCACTGTAGACATGTATAATTCATTTAACACCATTACATTATATCAAAAATTTTAAGTCACTTCGTTAAAACAGGGACTTTCTATACTAGTATAGAAAGTCAGTCCCTGGTTAAAAATATAAATATGTCATTTTATAAAACCAGATAAGTTGTCGATAAAAGAAGCATAATCTATGGCATGGTTTAATTTGGATTTGAATACACTTTATGATACAGTTGTTTTTGTTAAATACCGGACGCAAGACTTTCTAATTCCCCCCACAATAACCCCACTTATCTTTGGCGACAGTAATCCTTGTAAGGCCTCTTTGTCGCTACCGGAAGTTGTCAGTTTCAGACTCATTTGCATACAATATTTTGCTTTCTGTTTAATGAATGGGGATGAAAATGACAGAAAATATATCATGATCTCGATTTCTAGCAATGGCTAGTAACGGATCTAGGCGTCATGGAACATCTACTATGAAAATTCGTTTAACAGGTACACCTTATTACACAAATAACTCGCCCATAAGAACGAAACCAAACGGTATTTGTCGATGACCCATTGTACTCCAAAGAAAAATGGCTGCCTTGAGGAATCCAGTAGCAATTAATATCATCATTACAGCGGTATAGTAGAGTGTGCCAAATTTTTTTATAAAGAAATAAGTCCTTTATATATGTAAATATTGTTACATTATAATTTAACGGCGTGAATTGTTGAGACCACTCCTAAAAAAATGATGTACATTACCATCAGTATTGAAAACTATATATATATGACTAAAAAACCCCTTTCACTTTCTCTTTGAACACGAAGGATTAATGTGAACTGTTTTTCTGATAAGGAACTCATGGCTTTTGTTTGATACCCCATTTTGACATTGTTGTTCATGTTGTTAGCAATAAGTTTTTGGCAACTCTCTTTTGAAGATAATCATTGTCATTCACATGACAAAATGGATATGTTGTGTGTACATCATAGAGATAGCATCTAACTGACCAAATGTAGTGTTGAGAATCACTTATTTCCTTATGTAATACTTGTGTATGTCATATATAGTATTGAAGAATTACCCAATGCAGAGTATTGTTCACCTAAAAAGTTTTTATATATATTAAATGTATGTTCAAATTTGAAATGGACATACATTTTAATGGGTGTTTTAAGTGATGATTCCCTACATTTACAGGGAGGTGTCAAAAGGTTTATTTATTAAGATGTTTTTTTAAATGATCAATTAATGAAAATTATAGTCAATTTGTAAATTAACAAATTTCAATAAGTTAATGATTTTTTATTTATAAAATCGATAATCGGAATAACAAATGTTTACATTTTTTATTAGTTAATATAATAAAAGGGAGATGTACATGTAGTATGATTGCCCATGAGACAACTATATGTTCATATGTACATATACAGCCAAGTTAGGTTAATCCCCAAAATAAGTTTCTGGGAATATTTGATTTCCTGACAAATCTACATACAGTACATTTGAAAACCTATCCTTAAACTAATACCTTATGAATAAAAACTAATCCACAGTATATCATAATTAACTCCTGAAATATATTTATCTTCTTATTGATTTCACTGCTGTAATTGGCTAAAATACAGTACACTAAACAGATATGGTTTTTGTCTCGCATGAGAGGAAAGTCAAGGAAAGCAAGACATACAAATTGCTTTTCCGACAACGATAGTCGTAGTTGGCGTCAACAATTGTTAGGTTTTCTGCTTAAATTAGATTTGATTGGAACTAGTTGTGATATATCAATGATATTTTTTATAAAGTTGCATTACTATCAGTACATATCAGTTTGACGACTATTTTGAGGCCATGCCTCCTAGGTCATGGTCCAGTGACTTTCAATTGATTAACAATTTTCAATGTAAAATTTTCTGCTTAAGTTAGTTTGATAGGTACTACTTACAGTAGACAACAATATTTTCTATAAAGTTGTATTGTTGTGTGTACATCTCAGTTTGTCGACCATTTTAAGGCCCTGCCAACTAATTATTGGTCCAGTGACTTTGAATTAATTAGAAATGTTGCTGTCTGTTTTCTGAATTTATGCTGACAGAGGGGACATATCTCTGTCAACAGTTTATTCTACTTTATAGGGGAATGATGTTTTTTTTAATTCTAGGTTTGTTTCTTTATTTTATGGTACATTGTAATTTGACTTCCAGTACACTGAGTACAGTAATGTCCACGCTTTATTCCAGACATGTTTGACCAAACATATTATGTTTAAAAATACATGCCCTTTTCTATATTTATGCATCTCTGTTAACAACCTTATGATTTGTATATAGAGGAAGATACAATTTGACAGGAAATTTTTCAATTTTGGTACATACATGTAAGAGGAAATACTATCCTGAGGATTTTTCATGGGAATGTACCTAAATTATTTTTGTTTAAATTTGATTCTTTATAAGCTATTGCAATATCCTATTAATTTTGTCACTAGTCTTAATAAATGAGTGGTGACAAGACTTAGAAATGTAGAAGTGCTGTGGTCAGGGTCTGTGCTATCATTAATTGTTAAAACTTATTCTTTATAAGCTTTAGCAATATCCTATTAATTTTGTCTTGTCTTGACAAATGGGTTGAGAAAAGACTTAGAAGTGCTGTGGGTAGGGTCTGTGCTATCAACAATTGTTAAAGTTTGTGATTATTTTTTAGCAAGAGCGCTGTCAAATTTTTATAATAGTGGAATAGTGATTTAACTGAGTATACACAACTATACATATATAGAACTGATTATTTGTAAGCATTCATATAACCCGCCACATTTTTGCGCCTGTCCCAAGTCAGGAGCCTCTGGCCTTTGTTAGTCTTGTATGTTTTTTTAATTTAAGTTCATTTATATGTTTAGGAGTTTAGTATGACGTCCATTTTCACTGAACTAGTACACATTTTGTTTAGGGGCCAGCTGAAGTCCGCCTCCAGGTGCGGGATTTTCTCCTGGTGTTGAAGACCCATTGGTGGCCTTTGGCTGATTTTTACTCTTTGGTCGGGTTGTTGTCTCTTTAACACATTCCCCATTTCCATTCTCTATTTTATGTAGAAATTATGGGTGTTTTGGGTATTGGTATTTAAAATTTATTCTACACTGTACCATGTCAGGAGGAGTATGGACAGTGAGTGAAATAGTCTGTTGTACATTGTATAGATACGTGTACGCACATCATACAAGAACATGTTTTTTTTCTATTTCAGTTCTTTGTGCCAAGAACTTAGCCAAGAAAGATTTCTTCCGTAAGTATGCCAAATACTGTTTATCTACATTTAGCTGATTGGGTACAATAAGCAATTTGTCATTACATGTAAATTACTGTTGCAAATGTCAATGTTATGGAAAACAAAAGTGGAGTAACACAAAATAAAGCTGTTAGTTTTGGCCTTTCTACAGCACTCGTCATTTTTCGCTGTTAACGAAAGGATTTTCAAAATAAAAGTATTTCTTATCCAATTCGTCATCTAAATTTGTAAAAGTAAAAAAGATTTGTAAGAAATTTTATATGGCGACATGTCGTCACATTTTTCTTCTGAATTTTATGGACAGAATGAGAAATAATTCATATTTGGTCCGCATCTCAACACCAATGAGTTATATCGTGTATGCTCTTTAATCAGTCTGTCAGACACTACATCGTGTTTCTTTCGGTATTGGTAGTGATGGTATATGCTGATATATATTCAAATGCTAATGAAAGGGAACAATATTCCCAGTATTAGAGACGAAACAGTATGCTTACATTTTTATGTACCTAACAATACGATTTATTTTTATCATTCTACACATTTCTTGAATTCAAATACTGTAATCAACCTTTTAAAGTCTGCATTGGAATTTGTCCGCACCCCCCCTGTTTGCCATGAGAATTCAGGAAAAAAAATTTTGTAACTGCTTGAAAACGTTTTATGAAACTCTTATTTAAAATCATGTGTGATTGTTTATGGTATTTTCATGGAAAAACCTGTTTTCTATCATTGAAAATGCTTGTAAATGATTATAGAACACTCCACAAGTGTTAAAATAAGTCAAAATCACAAAAAAACAATTGGGAAAGTTGTGTTTCATATTTACTGGAAGTTTGTATAGCACATGGACATCGAAAATAATTATGGTGAGAGTGTGCATACTTCATAGTTACTACTAGAATACTACTTTAAAGCTTAAACAGTACCCTTCTTTAGTTAAATACTATTAAATATATCCAAAACAATGTTTGAAAGATCTTTAGCTAGAACAAAACGAATGCGTCAGTATGAAACACCAACACAGAACGAATAACCAATTACGTTTTGTAGTTTATACATCGTAATGCATAAGCTGGTTCCCAGCGGATTTATACTTTTTATGCTGATAAATACAAGCGGATTCCAGCTTCTATTATGCAATGCTATGAAAAGAAACGACTAATTTGTTTTGAAGCATTAAATTTTGATATTCATCAGTTAATATTGGATTTTGAATTAGAATTGCATATCAATATGGATTAGGTAAATTATTAGTTTTGAAAATTATAAGGGCACCCTCAACATTTTCAATAACAAACATGGCTGAACGTATACAAACCTCGCAAGATCGAGCTTTTCTCTTATTCCTTGCTTGTTACTCTATAATCTACACCCCTGCCTGGCAATATTAATTTTGGAGAAAAAAACTGCGGACTATACAAGCCTCAAGACAGTATGCAATAATGCATGTATGCCGCCAGAGCGTAAGGCTTGACAACTTAATTTAATTATGGCTGCATGTAAGTAACCTTAGAAATGTATTAAATCAAAGACTTTTCACAGCAAATAATGTATAAATTTATAATTTCAGGCCTACCTGATCCTTTTGCTAAAATTAGTGTGGATGGTTCCGGTCAGTGTCATTCTACTGATACCAGTAAAAATACTTTGGATCCAAAATGGAACCAGCATTATGACCTGTAAGTTGTACACAATGTATCAAGATTTTTACATATTTCCTGATTAACTAGTTTTAGTCTTGCATATATATATACTTATCACATTCTGTTCTTTTTTCATTAACTGTCATGGTGGTCTCCTGGAAGCAGGCTCACCTCGAGTTGGGGAGGTTGTGTGTTTGAACCCCAACCGGTTCAAAGCAAAGACTTAAAAATGGTATTTGCTGCTTCTTCGCTAAGCATCCAGCATATAGGAGTAAGAACAAAGACTGGTCAGTTTGAAATCAGAATAATGTATCCAGGTAGACAGACTGTTGCCTTGAGGACTAGCATGTTAAAAATTCAGCTGTTTAGTACAAAGCAGGATTATATTGATATCATGTTCTTGTCCTGAAGATGCATTTGATTTGCCATTGGACATTAAACCTCCATTCATTCATTTACATCCATCTATCATTTGTTCAAATACAATGTAAATAAGGCAAATATATATTGTGCTTGTTAGAAAATTTTATGAACTAACACTTCAAGGAAGAACAAGTCTGAAACACTCGAAACACTAGAATCTAAATATGTAAAATAAAGCAATTATAGCATTAACTCTAAATCAAAAATGGGAAATGAAATACAAGATGTGGTAAGGTATTAAACATTTTTTTCTCTTTGATTGTTTTTTCCTAAAAATTGAAAGATTAATCATCATTATAGCTTAAATGTAATCATCGAACTCAAGAATAAATATTCCAGTAATTAGATAACTTTTAAATTGTTAAGATAAGTTTTGTAATACAGCCTATTTCTATTGTCATTTTTGTTGTGAAGAACTGAAGATGAATACATGTAAATGTACATGTAAGATCCAAGGATCTGGAAATTTTTCACACAATTTCAGTAATTTTGAGAAAAGTTGGTGCCCTTTTTTCAAATGTCGAAAATCACACTAGATTTATAGCATTAACGAACTTGTATTGACTGTTTAATCACATTTACATCATGAATTGTCTTACCATTTTTCTAAAAACATTCAAGAACAGTTTAGGAAAGGCAACAGTTTAAAATTGAAATGATTTTAATGACTCAAAATGGTTAATTTCTCAGACGTCGCTAAAGTTTCTTTTGATTTTGAAAACGAAATTAAAACCGGAAGGTTTGCAACAATACTAAAGTACGAATAATTCTGGATTCATCTGGGATTCGTTTTGTTTATCAATATTTACAGGAAATCACCGGCGTTTTAATTTTAAAAGTGTTTGAAAATAACAATATCCAGCATGAAATCATTTTGCATTGTACGATTAAGTGTCTAATCTGCTGACGACAATTTCACACATGCGTATTACATAGTAAATAAAGCACATGTGTAACTCTAACTCGTGAAAAATTACTTTTTTCTACGTAAATTTAATTTAGTTTCAATTTTTAAATCAGAATTGATGATTGTCTTTGCTGAAAAGTAATTAAATAATGAATACAGTTTTCTTCGTATTTTAATTTCTTTATGATATTAGTTCTGAGCTTGTGATCCATGTCAGGTGTGAATTAAAAACACAGGTAAAAAGTGATTAGCGATCATTAGACAATATTTCCCGGAGGCATTAATATAGTAATTAGGAGGGCCCTCAGGATTATCATACTATACTGGAGTGACAATTTTATTACAGGAAAGGGATTATAAAACAAAAACAAGTGCAAAATGGCGATTAAGATCTCAATGAAATGACCTAAATTATTTCTTTAAAAAAAATAAAATTTGTCCTAAATCCCAATCTGCTGTTTAGGACAAATAGCTTTCAGTTTAGGTCATGACTGGCAATTATGACTGTTTCCGAACCCTTGGTAAGATCATAGAAAATAAAACATGATATTTGCTAACTTTATATTCTTATAAACGTTTTGCAATGCTGGGAACTTTTGTTTCATTAAAATTTGATGACAGTTGAGAACTTGCTGTAAACATCATTGGCAATCATACCACATCTTCTTTTTATATAAATAAATAGCTTTTGAGTTGTCTGAAACAAATATTGTTTGCAATAAAAGGTTATAACTACAATGTATATCTTAAGAGAAAATATCATCAGAACAATTGTATTTTTTGAAACACCAATTAGATAGCTAATTTCTCTAGCATGGAGTTGAAGGTTATGTAGAAAGTACTTCTAAGGTCTACTTCATAAGGAGAATATAAATATTCTAAACTTTTGTGCCTATGAATGACGATTGTTTTACACATTTTTGTGTTGCTATTATCTTGAAGATTTTGATATCCAGAGCGAAGTTTTAAAAAGCAAAAATTCTAATATCTTCTAAGCTTAATTTCACCATCAAAATCTCAATGTTGATTTTGAATTCAGTACATGTATTCCTTTAATCCTCAAATGGATCCTACAACACTAAGATGCTACGTAAAAGTTGTTAGTTTTTAGCTCCACTCTTTAATATTGGTAAGCTGAGAAAATATGATTGTGACCAAGATTGTCATATATCTGCACAGGGTTTGTTAATTCTGTGATGAAATGGTTTTCTCGCAAATGTAATATAATATTTAAATGTTTTTTTTATGCCCCCGCAGTAGCTGAGAGAGCTTTAAGTTTTACCCTTGTCTGTCTGTACGTACGTATGTCCATACGTATGTCCCATGGTTGGTTTCCGTTCTCTAACTTTAGTTTGCCTCAACCAAATGTTATGAAACTTATACCCAATGCTTATTACAAAACACAGATCAAGTTTGAATTTTGGTGGCATCACTTTAACCATTCTAGAGTTATGCCCCTTTACATTTTTCCTTCCCGTTCTCTAACTTAAGTTTGCCTCAACCAAATGTTATGAAACTTATACACAATGCTTATTACCACAAAATACAGATCAAGATTGAATTTTGATGGTGTCACTTTAACCGTTCTAGAGTTATGCCCCTATACACATTTTTTTTTCGTTTCTGTTCTCTAACTTTAGTTTGCCTCAACCAAATGTAATGAAACTTATACACAATGCTTATTATTACAAAATACAGATCAAGATTGAATTTTGGTGGTGTCACTTTAACCGTTCTAGAGTTATGCCCCTTTACAAACGGAAAAATTGCTGAATTTTTCGTTTCTGTTCTCTAACTTACAGTGTAAGTTTGCCTCAACCAAATTTTATAAAACTTATACACAATACTTATTACTACAAAACTCAGCTCAAGTACAAATTTTGGTAGCGTCACTTTTACTGTTCTTCAGTTATGTCCCTTTATAACTTAATATGATATGCAAGCGGGGGCAATACTGTGTCCTATGGACACATTCCTCATTTATTTAAATTACTAATTACTGAGTTCTGGGTATACAGTTCAAGAATAATTTAGCCATGATGAACTACATTTTATGCTTGAGAGATTACAGTGAATATTATTGTTATGGTTCATTTCACAAAATAGGGATGTAACAATTACATATAAAATACCTGACTTTACAATAATAGTAGCAGCACCAGAGTGATAAAAACAATCATACATGTATGTAACCCCACATAACAAAGTGACAATTGTGTCCTGATGATCAAATATAATTTTTTCTGACGTATTTAGTAAAAGTATATCAATGCAAGTGAAGTATACATGTTTACAGCCAGGATTTGTGTAACGTTAGACTAATTCTCAGCCATAAATATATATGTTCAAATTGAATGTCTTGATCATCTTTGGGCTTATTTTGGTTCTGTTCACAAAATACAAGATTTCATCTGAATATCTAATTGTATGAAAATATTGATATTAGCCATGGCTTGATGTCACTATTATCATGATATAGTAGTGACATCATGTTAAATATTAAGAAGATTCTTGCAAAAAATGATTTTAGGAACATTTTAAGACAGAGCTCAAGTGTTTTTCAATACCTGTTTGCTTGCAACAACAATGTAGATAATCACAATGTTAACTGTCAATGTTATGATTTTTTAGGGAGAGGGATGTGCTGTATATTATTTCTCAGTCTGAGAGAGTCAAATGTTGACTATTTTGTGTAATTTGTGTAATTTACTATACTTACTATAATTTCATGGCTTTAAATGGAAATGTTAAAAATAGAAATGGCTATGTTTAATTGAAGTTCATAGATTTAACATATATTTCTTCAAATTGGAGACATCATAAAACATATTTAATTTAAGGGCTTATATACATGTAACCCAAATCATTAATTCTTCTTTCAAATTTTCATATTTAGGTTATAGTAAGGAGGAACATCAGAATAAGATATGAAACTTGATGTCAAGGTTTATTTCTAAACTTTCTATATAGGATACACAGGAAATCATCAAATCTATTCAAGTGTAGGAAAGCTATGTTCAAACATATACATGTAAAGCATTGTAACCTCAAGTGTAGGAAAACTTATGTTCAAATATATACATGTAAAGCATTGTAAAGCTAGTGTAACATGATCAAAGGCAGTCAATTTGTTTGAAATTATTGTAACACATTTAAATGAGCTTAAATTTGTGTAAATACACAAGTGTTACATTATGAATTAAATGGTTTTAAGTGAAAGGACTGATGTTAAGCATTTTATTTTAATGTCTTATACATGTATGGAAAATAGTTCTGCTATGTGATTAATGAAACATTATAATAACATGAAGTTTATGATGTGTTTCAAATTAAGATATGAAGAGCTGACAGTTGGTTAGTGAGGTTACTTATTTATTATTAAAATTATAATTGTAATATTCATCAAAGAATGTGAAGGTTTGCTTGTGATATTTTTGTTCCAGATATTTATTGATTTTTAAATCAAAAGCAAACAGGTAATTTTGCAGTTTAATAATTGATTATTTTGAAATATTAAAAGCATTTTGATTTTTTATGTTAGAAAATTGTGGGAAAAAGCAGATGTACCATGCAATGGGTTCGTACAAATTTGTACACTGTAATTGACTTTTCTCCTGTTTTTAGCCTACTTGGTCCAAGTGAGCTTTTCTCATCACTTGGCCACTGTCATCATCTGTTAACTTTTACATCATCTTCTCCTCTGAAA